TCATCCATCTCCGGCCAGGGACCAAGAATACTGGTCACAAAAGCATGCCAGCATGCATACTGTTTTCTTCTGACAGGCTGATGGGCAGGCTTAGATAACAAGGCCACAGGCAATATTCTCCTGTAAGTACCTGGCTCCCTCTCATTTCTGAGTGCCTTATGTCCTCTCTTATGGTAGGAACTATTAAATTTACTACTTGTCTGGCTGTCACAGTACTTAATGCCTTAGTCCTTCACCTTCCACTCCCCCTCTCTCCAAGATTTCCTCCTATGCTCTATCTAGAAACCTGCTTCACAAAATTTCCTCAGTGATATTTGTCTTTGTAACTGCCACACAAACATGCCTATTGCTCCCAGGTAGAGTCCCATCTCCCCTACCTCCCACCCTACATTATGGGCTCTCTACCCAAACCCATATTCCATAGGACAGCAAATCATGATTTTCCCTCTTGAATTCATTTCTCCATTCACAGGCCAATTGCAAGCATTTTAGGAATATCTTAACTGCTCATTTTGTCCCATATGTTTTTCCACTCAGATTTATCTCTTACAAAACATCTTCCTAGAATAACACATACATCTCAATATTTCCTTTTTTAAGGTCAATTAATGATGAAGAAGATGATGATAACAGCAACAACAACACAGCAGTAGCAGGAGCTAACAACTGAGGGCTGACCATGGGCCAGTTACTGTTCTTAGCTTTACACAATTACCTTACTGAATTGTCAAACAGACCCATGATGTATATACATTAATATAACCATTTTACAGATGACAAAACAAAGGCTATACTGCAGGGATTATTAGTCCAGGGTCTATATACGTAAAAGGCTGCGGATGTCCTTCAGGAGAGCATGAACTCCCTCAAATGACAATGCATAAGGCTGTATGGATGTGCATCTGTGCATTTTTCTGGGGAAAGGGTTCACAGCTTTTATTGGTATATCAAAAGACAGAGCTCAAACACGATTATTAACTGCTGCTAGGACGGTTAAACGTTCTCAATTAAATCAAAGCAAAACTCCTGACTCGGATGTTAGCTGTCTTCCACCGGTTAGAGCACCTCACCCCAGGCTATCTCCTTCCCCTGTGAAGTCATGATCACTTCACCAGCTGATCCTCACACTGTTCCCCAGCTGGAACGTATCCCCAACTCCAAAGCCTACTATTGCTTCCAAAAGCTTAACGGTGGACCCACCATAAAACCTTCTTCCCCTACTCCAGCCCCTACTGATATCATATGGCCTCCAAGCGCACACCCCTTCCAACAGGCAACCCCCTCTTCAGCCCCATTTTCTCACCCATTGGTGCTCACACATACACTCTCTGATGTGCATCTGCCTCACACACCCTGACACTCTCCATGCAAAAAGACACACGCACTGTCACCCACTTTGTCACATCTTGACACCCATAGCAAGAGTTCTCCCTAAGGGCTCTCACCAGAACCTGACCCAGAACCTCAGGCAACCTCGGACTCAGTCCCCAGGCTCACAGGCACAATCTGACTGTCTGTCTGTCTCTCTCTCTCTCACACACACACAGAAGCTCAGTGGCCCACAATACTGCCCAAGGTCCCAGTGACAATCTCTCACACACTGACAGTCACTGTGTTCCACAGACGCTCTGACAAACACCCACAGCCGCTCCCTCGCGCGCCCCGCCTCACCCGATGCTGGTACAGGCAGACGTTCCCGAAGCCGCCGGTGCCCAGCCGCTCCCGCATCTCCCAGGGCCCGCCCGCGCCCGGCCGCAGCCCCGGGGGCCGCTCCATGGGGCGGGAGGGCAAGCGGCCTCAGGTTCCGCCACCGTTCCAAGGCCGGTTCCGGGCCGCCGCGGCTCGCGCGTCTTCCCTCTCGCGAGAGGTATGCGTCACTTCCGGCAACTGCCGCAGGAAAAGCTCCGCCCCGAGTCTCGGGGGCTCCGCAGGGGACCAGCCGGTGAAAGGATAGGGGGAAGAGGGCGCTTTCAAGCTACCAGGTTCTTTGGGCCTTTTCCTGGCTGAGAGATCCAGTCGTGTGATTTTTCAGTCTTCAAAAATATAAGCTCTCTCCACATCCTGCATTCCCTTCAAATTACTTTCCAAACCAGTCTCTCCAGTATTCGTCTTTTCTAAACTTCACATCGTCTCCACCCCTGTCTACACTTCACCTTTCAGACCTCTGCCATCTATCCTCCAACCTCATCACCCGCTGAGCTGGCACTGGCACAGGCCACCAATGATTTAAATATTGAGGAATCCAAAGAACTAGAAAGAATCCTGCGCTAACAGGCCCGCTGATACATTAGCCTTCATAGTTCACTTTTTTTTTTTTAAAACGATTAATCATCTTGCATAGACGAGTCAGGCTCAGCTCTTCTCTTGCTTGACTTCCTATACACCTGTTCCAGGATCTCCCCTGTGTGTAATCAAACGGCTGAAGGAAGTGACGCTGTTCCGGAGTAAAGAATGTTCCTCCTGACCTTGGGAGTTTTTCCTAAATTTACCACGGAGCTTGCGGTCAAGCAGTCCTTCAGTTAGGGGGCTTGCCAGTGCAGTAGTTCTTCATCCTGGGGATTGTTTCTGATGTGCGTTGCGGGGCTACAGAGGCAAGCTTTGGGAATGCTGTTGCTGCAACAAGAAGTGCTTTCAAGTGGCGGATTGCCTTAGCGTAGGGAAACCAGCTCCCAGTTTTCCCTTTGAGTCTGTCAGACGCTATGCGGAACTGCGGGATCTTGTCAATCACTCCAGGTGTAACAATCAGCTAGAGTCAAAATCCCTAAAGAAATATGTCAGTTGTGTTGACTTAGAATTCCAACCAACCCTTTGTGACACCTAGCTGTGCCATGGCAGATATAACATGCTGAGATGTCTAAAGGTGGATATGGCATGTACACCACAGCAATGTTGCTAACTGCTTTGAAAGCATTCCATCAGCCTTTGGCAGAGCAAACGTGTCTATTGTTACCAGAATCGCTGAACAGTTCAACCAGAAGGTAGACCCACTGCATGATACAAACCAGGTCGTGTTGTAGGTTCAGTGATGTATGTGTGGTATCAGCGATTCTGATTTGATGTGCGCTTGGTAGCCATGGAGCTGGAGTATCAGACTGGGAGGTGATGGCAAATAGTTCCTGTAAGAACACGTCTCTTAGAGCTGGGCAGACTGCACCGATTGTGGGACAGACTGTCCCAATAGGATGAAGCCCTCTTGTTTGCTAGGTGTACAGCATAGCTGGCACTGGAGTGGGTCTGATCTCCACACGTGGGGCTGCAGTCTCCTAATTCTCACTTGGAAGAGTTTGGGAAGGATGCTGAAGACCTGAGGATACTGATGATTGGGCTGGCACCAAAGTAACCATCTTTGCAGGAATTGAGTTGTTTCCCGTAGTTCACTCTTTGAACATTCCCATTCTCAGGGATGCTGTGTAGCTCCTTTTTTAAAAATCCAGGGCCAGATCTTATGATCCAGCCATCCCACAACTGGGTATCTATCCTAAGAACCTGAAATCAGCAATTACAAAAGTCCCATGCACCCCTATATTCATTGCAGCATTATTCACAATAGCCAAGTCATGGAACCAACCTAAGTGCCCAGCAACTGATGATTGGATAAAGAAGATATGGTGTGTATATATATACATACATATATATATATATATATATATATATATATACACACACACAATGGAATACTACTCAGCCATAAAAAAGGGCAAAGTTGTCCCATTCACAACAACATGGACAAACCTTGAGGGTATTATGTTGAGTGAAATAAGCCAGACAGAGAAAGATGAACTCTGCATGACTCCACTCATAGGAGGTAGTTAACATATAGACAAAGAGAACTGATCGGTGGTTACCGGGGAAAGGGGGTGGGGGGGGTGGGGGGAGGGCACTAGGGGTGAAGTGGTGTACCTACAACATGACTAATAATGATATACAACTGTAATTTCACAAGGTTAACTATCATAATCTTAATAAAAATAAAAAAAAAAAATCCAGGGCCAGTTGACCTCAGGCTCCACTATTTTCAAGTTTGCCAGTCTTTTGGGTATTTTTGAGGAAGATTAGCTCTGAGCTAACATCTGTCGCCAATCCTCCTCTTTTTTGCTGAGGAAGACTGGCCCTGACCTAACACTCGTGCCCATCTTCCTCTACTTTATATGTGGGACGTGTGCCACAGCAGGGATTGATAAGCGGTGCGTAGGTCCGTGCCAGGGATCTGAACCGGCAAACTCCAGGCCGCTGAAGTGGAGCACCCAAACTTAACCATTAAGCCACTGGACTGGGCCCCAGTCTAGGGTTTTTTCATGTGTAAAATGGAGGCAATACCTACCTCATAAACATTTTGTGAGGATTAAGTGAAACAGTGTCTATGCCATGAATGCCCAACATGTAATTTTTTATTTTGGCTTCCAAGATACAGCATTCTCCTGTGAGCTTTCTCTCTGTTCCTTCTCCATGTACTTGATGGATCACTCTCTTTCCAAGCACTCCTTAAATATTGAGATTTCTCAGGTAGTTATCTCCAGTTTAGGGCTGTATTCACCCTTATTTTCATCCATTCTCATAATCTCACCTCTGGCCTATACCCTGATGCTCCCTGAAGCCCTATCACCAACCCAGATCTCCATGAGTTTGGAACTATCTAACAGCACACTAAAACTCAACAGATCCAAAGCAGAACTCATCTTTTCTTAGATCTGCCTGTTCTCTTCCCAATTAAACTGTAAATTCTGGGACAAGAGGGACCATTTGGAACATAGCTATAGTCCTGGAGCCTAGAAAAACGCCTGGCACACAGGAGTTAAGTATTTGCTGAAGGACTGAATGAGCTCTATCAATAAAATGAATGCTATAAGAGAGAAATGGCACCACCTGGGCCTTGCTCAGGGAGAAGTCACCTGTGAGATCCTGGGATAACTGCTGGGCCTAAAGCCCTGGCCCCTCCTATTACACACATATACTATTTCATTTTAATGGTTACAGGTAACATGAACACAAGATACTTCCGCAACCATGGAAAAGCACTTGGATTTTATTTGATAGTTTAAGTGTTTTTGAAAATATTGATAAACACAAGCTGTACTTGGAGCTGACAGACGTGCTACTAACATAGGATTTTCATCCTAGATTGTGACTTTTTCCAAAAAATATTCAATCTGAGGCCTCTTGCTGCAGGCAGCTTCCATGCGAATGCACAAAAAAAGAGGCAGGAAAACAGTCCCCATGGGAGACTGTAGTTTCTTAAAAAACAGGCTGCTACTAATTCCTGTGATGTTCATAAAGTGTTTTTCCCTTTGCTTAGTCATCCAGAGTGAAGTCAAAGGGCTCAAAGTCTTTCCGGAAGCGGCAAGCCAGGGTCTCCTCCTCTTCCTTGCTGATCTGACACTGCCTCCAGTCAGACTTGTCAGGAATATTAAGGATGGCTTCACTGGCCAGGACCTCCCTGCAGAAAGAACACAAGTCAAAATGCACAGTATCAGCCCCAAAGCCTCTCCCTCCCTCTATTCCTCTCCGGCCAGAGAGCTCTCTCCTCAGCATCAACAAAGAAGAAATGCAAATTCTTCCGACTTTGCTCATACCATTCTCTCTTGCCCTGAGTGCCATCTCTGCCAAAATCATACCCATTTTAAGTGACCAGCTCAGGTCCTACCTCTTTCCTAACCCCTCAAAGCCCATTTCTTCTCTCTCTCTTGAACAACCTGGAACTTACTGGTACTCAGAGAAGCAACATGGCATAGTAGCAAGAGGGCAGGTCCTGATGTCAGAAAGATCAGAGACTGAATTCCATCCCTAGCTCTGCCACTTGCTGTCTACAACCTGAACAGACTACTTCATCTACAAATCTTGATCTTCTCACCTATGAAATGCAAAGTAAAGATTTTGCGAGGTATGGATAACACAATCAAAGCACCGAACTAGCTGTGATTACATCCTACCTTAAAATGTAGCTTTGTCATCCCAACTAGACCATGAGTTTGCTGAGGTTTACAGAGTCATGCACCACTCTGACTTAAAAGTCCTCTCTCCTTCAAGGGGACTCAGGCCTACACAGGCACAACATCACAAGCTCAGTGTCAACAAAACAACTTAGCTCTCAGAACTACACACAGACATACACGCAAGCTACCTTCTGATTGCCTCTGCTTTATATTTTTATTTTTACTTATTTTGATATATTAGAAATAACTATCTGTAATATATGGTTCATTTTCCACTTTGAAGCTACAATAAATGGAAAAGTTGAAAACAAATCACATGAGTCTTCTAAAAGTCAGAGGACCTGAGCTCAAATTCTGGCTCACTGGGCAAACGTTGAGCCTACTTCTTCATCCATATAATGAAGATAGAACCACCTTTTTTTTTTATTTTATTTTTTTCCTTTTTCCTCCCAAAGCCCCCCCGGTACATAGTTGTGCATTTTTTCAATTGTGGCATGTGGGACACCGCCCCAACATGGCCCAATGAGCAGTGCTGTGTCCGCACCCAGGATTCGAACCGGCGAAACCCTGGGCTGCCGAAGCAGAGCGCACGAACCCAACCAGTCATCGGGCCAGCCCCAGAACCACCTTTCTTGCACAATGGGGAAAAATATGTCTTTTCAAGTACTTCAAAAATACTTTTCAAGTATTTTGTTAACTATAAAATACTATATAACTATAAATTTGTATTTTGAAAAATTCTCAATGTTGAAAATACAACTATCAGGAGCACAAAAGCATTCAGAGAATCTTTTTTGGGCTTATGTGCCTGTGTGTATCTGCAATCATGTGCCTACATGTCATCACTGTCCACATCTGCATCTGTTGCTAAGACAACAACAAAAAGATAATGTCAGATTTTTGAAGCTCCTCATACACGTGTTCTCATTTATCAATTATCTTCTTGAAAATGTAGACAACTGGACTTATCCAACAGTAGCAATCTCTTGGCAGGCTTTCCAATTTAGTCCAAGAAGGGTTCAAGGTTGCCTCAAAGCTCTGTTCTAACTGGGGAAAAACACAGCTGCAAATCACAGACACAGCATCAGATAATCTGTTCTACATATTTTCAACTCTTCTCCGTACTCTTATCTCTTCTTGCTAGTAACTTCCTGTCTTCAGTCTTTACTTAATCCCTGTATGCTTTTGTAGTCATGTTCTGCCTGATATGTAGAGCAGAAATGAAACCTTATCCAGACCTTTAGGATACTACAGAATAATGAGGTTAAGAGTTCACATCTTGGGGTCCAACAGAGCTGAGTTTGAACCTACTACTGTGTGACCACGGACAAACTACCTAACCCCTCTAGAGCCATGCTGTCCACTCTAGGAACTACTAGCCAGATACAGCTATTTAAATTTTAACCCTAATTAAAATTAAATTAAATTTAAAAATTCAGTGCATCAGTCACATTAGCCACATTTCTAGTGCTCAGTAGCCACATGTGGCTAGTGATTACCGAACAGGACAGTGCAGATTTATACAGCATTTCTATCATCATGGAAAGTTCTATTAGGCGCTGCTCTAGAGCCTCATTCTCCACAGTGGTAAATTGGGATGACAGTACCTACCTTACAAAGTGGGGAAGATTAAATGAGGCAACACATGTGAAGCACTTGGCAAAGTGCCTGGCACTAAGCATATGTTCAATTACTGGCAGCACTTTACTCCCTTGAGCTAGAATGTCCACACCCCAATGCTTGCCCTCTAATCTCTCTCTCGAGCTCAACTTCAACCCCTTCATGAAGCCTTTCACTAAGGAGAAATGAGCTCTCCCTTCTCTGAACTTCTAAAGTACATTGTTCCTCAAAACCTTGTTACAGTACTTTTCACATTCTGCATTACATTACTGTCATATACATAAATATCTGCCTTGCCCTAAGAGTACTGGTTCCTTGGACGAAGGACTGTTTCTTATTTGGCTTTTTATTCAACTATCCATGCAGCTCTCTACTTTGTTCACAGTAGGTCTAGTGAAAATACATTTAAAATAAGAAATACATACAAACCTTCCAAATTGCAAAGGAAAATTCTTTTTAATTCTGTGGAAAAGCTTCTCTCCTGTGTCAAGTTCAACATAAAAATATGCTGCTCCTGGCTGTGCAATCTAAAGTAAACAGAATTTTATGAGGACAAACAATAGTGCTTTAAAAATCTAAAATCCTGGCTCAGCTCTACATTAATTTGGCAAAGAATTCAGTCTAGAAGTACAAGAAAAAGGATGTGAGCAGCTATACCAAGCCACTTAGTGGAATTAAGAGTTTAAAAAGCCAAACTGGCAGATAACACAAAGATCCTCCCTGTGGCACCCATCTTTCTAAGTTCCTGCCCTAGGAAATCTCTAATTTCTTGCTCTTCCCAGGAAAGCACTAAGGCATTGCTGTAATGCCATCTTCATCTGCAGTCTAATCAATACCCCATGTTCTAGTTCCAAATCGTCACCTGCCTATTTAACATTTCTGGAATGCCTTGACAGTACCTCAGGCTCACCATGTGAGAAACCAGGTCTTTACTTCTCCCTGTATATCACGTTCTACTCCTGCTTTATATCACCTTCTACTCCTGTTTTACCTGCTTGATGTCAGAGTGCTCTGGGATTTCCAACAGCTCTATCTGCTGCTCCTGTGCCTGGGTAATGAAGGCATCTTTAATGTCATCAGTAGTGCAGCAGCTGAGTGGCACAGGAATAACCTGGGGGGTAGGGGTAGGGGGTAGGGAGATAGGAGAAATTCTTTGTGCAGGTGCCAGAGAGGTCATGCCTCCTGCACAGTTCCTGAGAAGAAGCAAATCCATCACAGGGGTGGAGAAACACCCCTCAGCAGAGATTCTCCTCAGGCCAGACAGACCTATGTCAGCCTGTCTGTAAGGACTTAAACTTACGAGATGGCCTGCCACATGTGAGAGCCAATTGCTGATGCAGGAAAGGCTAGAGAGATAGCTCTGTCATCAAGCCTTTGCCAGCTCCTAAATAATATATGTGGCAGAGTCAGGCCCATCTGAAAACTTAACAAATGCGCCAGAAAGAAAGCCACCACAACTACAAACAAATTAACCATAAACAACCTTGGAATTTCTGAGCTGCTAGCTCCATGCAGGTTCTGGGACTATTTCCTACCTCTGAGCCTTCACTCACACTGGGCCTTCACACAAAATACCCACTCTCTTCCAAACTTTACTGATGAAGGCCCAAATCTTTCTTGGAACCTTCCTCAACTATCCATTCCTTTTCTAAACAAGGTACTTACTGTCTGTGCTCTTCACTTGCACTGACCATGCACTTCCCTGTGCACTCTCTAGAGTTATCACCAGAGACTCTTTAACCTTTCAAATGAACATTATTCAAATATTAACATGAAAGTTCATATTAAATATTTAATTTTACATTAGAATAACATATTTAAATATTAATTAAAATTAACATTATTTAAATATCAATATCCAGGTTCCCATTGGACCCCTCCAAGTTCTTGAGCAGAAACCGCCTACCTGTAACTGCAGGTGATGGCTCTTATAATTTCTCTCAAACAGAACACACCGTTTCCCTCGACTCTTAAAGAACCGCCTCAGTGTAGCCTTATACTTCTCCACCTCTTCCACCACCTCTGCTGAAAGCTCCACCACTGACTGGTAGTGTCCAATGGGCAGGATGAGGACATGGTCATCACACAAGCCTCCTTTGGCCAGGGCAAGGTAGCACTGAAGAGGAAGCACACAGAACCGAGACACCAATACCGCATGCATGGTTCTTCAGGGAGAAAAGCCTCCACAACAGTGAGCCTGACAGGGTGGAAAAAGTGCTCAAGAGCCTATCAAGAGACATTCTTCAACTTTTAAAAATCTGATTTTAGAAGTTATAACGACAATGTTCTCAAGCACCTGCTGAAGAATAAGATCAGATGCAACAAATTTCTATGCAAGTATCAAATGAACTGGCAGCAAATGAGCAGCATACAAACAGCCTTTTGGCTTCAAACGCACTGGAAACGAGGGAGACTGGACTAACAGTTGGCTTTCCCTTCCAGGCTCCCAACTTGAGAACAATTTTTTAGTTACTATCACTTTCAGCCACAGAAAGATGCCACTTCTGATTTCAAAACGACCACTTTCCCTATAGTAACATCTAATCTCACTGCTAAATACACTCCGTGGGTTCACAAAAAAAGGCTAAGACGACCTCATTAGCATCCAATGTTCCTACAGCCCTAAGCTGCTGACTAACCTCTACAACATCAAAGCAACCATAAAACCTAATGGGGTGGAAGGAAGGAGGAGAAATCTCAAACTCAGATACATTCAAAGTGGTGGAAAACTATGGTTCCCAACAGTGGAGGTCAGCAGCTAAAGAGCAGCCAAAAATATTTCTGTCAAAACCAAAACACGCAAGACTGCTCAACACTCAGACACTCTTTGAAGGGAAAACACTGAGTGTGTAGACAAAGGGCCAATGAATATCAAATGCAAGCAAATGATGAAGGTATGAGAGCTTTAGAAAACACAATCCAAAGTATACTTATAGTGTTGTAGGTTCAAAGTTAAGGGTGAAGAAGGAGTCATTTATGTCTCATCTACAACAAGAAAGCCCAACAGAATGACGGGATAGGTTTTAGAAACAAACTAAAGGATGATCATCCTTCATTTACTTGGTGTAAAGCACCAAAACATTTTTTTAATTTTGACAATAAGCCTTTTTTTTTTTTTTTACAATAACCATTCTTGACTGTATTTGTTTTAAAAGGTTACTCTAGAAGCCTGAGTCTTCTAGCCTTTCCTTTATGGCAGAGTCGCCACCATAAACATCAATTTTTATACTGTGATCTGCACTGAGGCTATTGAAGGTTTCTAGTCTGGACTAAACAGCACCCCCAATGCAGCACCTTCTGGTTCTTGTGGAACTGCCCAAATCCACATGCCTAATCTCCTCCCTCCCTTTCAAACTCTCACCTTCTAACCTGTTCTATACTTGAATTATCTCTAACAATGCATGAAAAGGACCAGAATGAATGTTTCCCCCTTAAGTAAAATTTACGGATTTTGCAAGTTATTTTGGACTCTTAGCAGCCTTTCCCTGCTTTTACCAATTTGTGGCCATGGGCTGTCAGCATAGTTCTATGTATATCCCTTGAGGAAGGCACGGCAAAGACAGAGAAAGCTCGGGAAAAAAGGTAATGAAAGGAGATCAAGAGGAATGGTTGCAGGGAGGGGATTCCAAACCCTTTGCCAGACACCAGAGGTTGCTACGAGGTTTCTACCAGACAAAGGACAGCGCGAGTAAGCGTAGACTTGATTACTAGGTAGGCTCCAGGCTAAAATCCTCACGTGCCCTCCTACTTGGGGTGCTGGGTTGGGCCATAAACAAGACCCGAGATGCTTTTTGCCCTTCTAGCTTCAGGCCTAGATGAGAAGCAAACAGGTTTCCTTATTATCCTCTAAGTCCATACCCTGAGCTACATACTGTGGGCAATAGAAAGGTGAACAGAAAGAAAAGGTCACTTCTCCCGGAGGCCTAGAGCAGCACTGAGCTAAGTCAACCATTCCAAATCTCTTCTCCCCTGCATGGCATCTTGAACCTACTGAAGCTTCCCAAACAGATGGCAGTCCAAAGTCTGCCTCACCATACAAGTTCCATGGGAGAGAAGAACGGCATAAACTAACCCAAAGAGGAAAACAAGGTCCAAGAGAGAGAATCCAAAAAGGGCATTCCTTAAAAGCAAGGGCTTTTCAAGTTTGCTCTTCTTCCCTCTGAAGAGTTCATCTACAGGCTCCATGTCCCAGTTGTGTCACAGGCCTTGACCCCGTTAGAGACAGGAGAGCTCCCCCTAGAGACAGGACTGTGCCAAAAAATCAAGACATAACAATAAATGTAAAAGACTGGGACGCTTCAGTCTGAAACAACAAAGACAGGAGAGGGATGTGACTTAAACTGTAAGACAAAAGTGAGACTCTACTCAGTCCATCGGAGGCCACAATAAAGGGCCCTCAGATTGTCAAGAGAAGCTGAGGAAAAGGTCACCCTTAGAAACCAAAATTAGAACAAATCAATGGAAATGGATGAAAGTATCTGTCTGCAGAAGCACCACACACTAGGAAATAGTTTATAAATATTTCCCTCAGGAACCTTGGGAAACAGCTAGTTCTAGCCACATGTGGCTAGGGTAAAACTGTAACCCTGAAAACGAAGCTTTTTTCATTCTAAGTGAGTGAAAAAGGATAATGGTCTACAGGGAGCTCAAAAAAATGAAGATCAAAGAACAGTATTATTTAATGCCTAACTGAGCCTTGCCCAAGGAAAGTATCTGGGGAAATCTGGAATAGGATGACTTTACTGTGAGACACAGAGAGTTCGTCACGGTTTTCCACAGCCTAAATAAAATCACCCTCAACATCATCTAGTTCTCATAGTCTGATTCAGCGCTTACCAAGCAACTTTATAATTATCATCTTGGGTTCCCAGATACCCACGCCAGAAATGTGGATATGGGTATTCCTGTCATTAGGAAGCTATATCCTCTACTAGGCAAAACTGAGAATCTGTCACTGCAGTTTTTTATATAATTTGTGTGAATCAGTTCCCAGCATTACAAAATTCCACATAAAAATTAATAAGGTCAAGTTTCTGAATGTAAAGATATAAAAAAAGAATATCAACATCTTTAACCCAACATGGGTACACAGCCAACAAAGGACTCCCTTTTTAGGACAAAGAAAATCCCTGTTTTAAATAGTGAGTAATTAATAAAAGCAATTCATCACCCCCAAGAAGTATGAACTAAAAATACAGAGTTCAAGAAGTACATAAAAGCATCACCCTAGGAGATCCATAACTATTTGTCAAAGAGGGAGAAAAGGAGGGAGTGATCTTATGAAACTGGCTCTGCAAAACCAGAGGAGAGTTGCTACAATCAAAAAGACAGACAATAACAAATGTTGGTGAGGATGTGGAAAAACAGGAACCTTCAAACATTGCTAGTGGAAATACAATACGACACAGCCACGTTGGAAAATAGTTTGGCACCTTCTTAAAAAGTTAAACATAAATTTACCAGCAATTCCATTTCTAGGTATCTATTCAAAACAAATGAAAACGTACGTCCACACAGACTTGCATGCAAATGTTCACAGCACCATTATTCCTAACAGCCAAAAAGCGGAAACGACCTAAATGTCCATCAACTGATGAATGTATAGACAAAATGTGGCATATCCACACAATGGAATACTATCTGACAATAAAAAGGAATGAAATATTGATACATGCTACTACACAGATGAGCCTCAAGATTATGCTAAGTAAAAGAAGCCAGACACAAAAGACCACATGTTGTATGACTCCATTTAAATGAAATATCCAGAAAAGGCAAACCTATGGAGACAGACAGGAGACTAGTGGTTGCCTGGGGCTGAGGGTGGGAAGAGGGATTAATTGTAAATGGGCACAAGGGATCTTACTGGAGTGGCGGACACGTTCTAAATTGTATTATGTGATGGTTGTACAACTCAGTAAATCACTGAATTGCATAATTAAAGTGGGTGAATTTTATGATATGTAAATTATGACTCAATAAAGTTAATAAAAAACAAAGAGATATCTCCTTCTCTGTAAAAGGTCCATGGAAGTAACTCACATGTGTGCCAATGTTGACCACCAAGTGCTTTTCCACTTCAGGGCTGGCAAGGCAAAACCAGCAGGGTCCTGGAGGCTGAGCTTCATGTGGAAGAAAGTAGATGTTACTGTGGTCCAAGCACTCTAGCATATAATCACCGAACAGAACTCAGTCTAGTTTGATATTTATATCCTGCAAGGACTGGTATACAGCACTGCCACAATGGGCTGGGCCTGTTGTGCTCCCACGATGAACCCCCCGCCCAAAACCACCACTATCAATGAACCTCTATTCTCAAAGTTCTGAATTTGTAACCAATCCACAGGTAGGTGATCCACAAGTGGATAACCACATATTGACTAAAGCAGTATGTAACTAGCAACAGGCTGCAATGAGAGAACACTGAACTGGGTGTTAGGAACCCTAATAATAGTCCCAGCTATGCCACTAGCTAGCCAACTGACCCTGGGTAAGAAGTTTACCTTCCCAAGGTCAGCTTCCTCATCTTGGAAACAAGGGGATGGGAAAAGAGGATCTCAACGAAATAGCCTTAAAGTCACTTCCACCAGTTTGATTTTTCTATTATTTTATAAACCCACATTAGTTTTGAAGGCTCTTTAACTCATATGTTTATCTGACATGAAGGAATGGAGATTTTTCCATAGTTCTTACAGGAATAGGCTCAGACAGCCTTAAAGTCAGGCCATCACTGTAATATTGTATTTTTATTATTGGTCCTGATGACTCATTGTACAATTTCCCTCTGCCAAAAGAGGCTGTCTTAGCAATGCTGCTTCCCAAACAAGACCTGAAATAACAGCTACTGCTCACACAGGAGACCTCTAGAATCAAGGTACTTACGAGGTTTGCGAGGCTGCTTTGGGTGAGGAGATGACTTGCTATCTCTGCCTGGAGATGAACGCTTCCTTCCCTGCTTTTCATTTAAATCAAAGAAAAATTGACAGGCTGTTTCTTCCTGGAACGGCCAAAGGTAGAAGAGCAAAGGTTATTAAACTAACCTTTAGACAAGCAGCCCACAATTCACACACAAGGGAACACTGCTGCCAGGTAATGTCTATCTTTCCTCCCAGCCCTTTCTGCCTATTCTAGAGAAGAAAAACATCTTTCCAGTCCTGAAGCCTAGACTCCCAGTCTTACTTCTCAATACTTTCCAAGCTACCAAATTCATCTCTTTGGAAAAGAAAGTTAAAATGCAAGTTAGAGAGCAATTCTTGCCTAAAACAGAACAATATGAACTCACTCAAATTCTTTTTCCTTTCTCTCTCAATAGGCCCATAGCACAGTCCTACAATTTCACAGGTCAAACAAGTCTAACTGAACTTTAATTAAAAAGATGAGCAGGTTGCTCATAAAGAAAAAAAGCCTGAGAAGGCAGACCATGCACACTAGTAAGGGAATCCGACAGTCATCGCTTTAGTGAGGGAAAAATTAATTTCAGAAAAGACTACTATTAAGAAAGTTCTTCAGAAGGAGTCTTATTTACCTATTAGCACTCATTATAAAATCACAAACTACACTGCCACCAAATAGTTGGAGCCTTGCCTGAAAAGTTAAGAACAGATAATCAACTTCAGACAAGGAAAGATTTAACACTATGATACAATAACCCTAACATACGAATCAAGTTTAGTCAAAGCAAAACTGAACATGTGAAACTGGTAACCCCACAGATTACCTGAAATCTACTAAGGCTTTCTAAATACCACCATGATTTCCCAAGGAAAAAAAAAAGATCTAGATTCAAAGGATTAAACTTGTCTTATGAACTAAACTATAACCAGGAAAGGGATACCTGTAATGGGCAATCTTGCCCAGAAAATTCCACCTCTCAATCAGAACATACCTCAGGGGCAGGAATTTGCTTTCCTATGGATGCTTCCTTCCCAGATTTTCTGTATGGGTTTTCAGTGACATCTGGAGGCTGTTTTACCAGTTCTGCTGTATCCATTAGTTTCATAGGAACAATACTGAATGCATAAAGGTACTTTGGGAGAAAAACAACATAACATTAGGGGAAATACTGTTTATCCAAACGTAATCAACCTATTTTATTGCAATTTCACAGAAAGCTTCAGAAATAGAGTAAAATTAAAAGAGCAGCAACTTGGCCCATCTATGCTCAGAGAATACACAGTAAATCAAATGCCAATTCAGTGATCTCTGCGGGGCTAACCAAGGGCTGACGAAGGAACGAGCAAGAGATCAAAGGCCCAGCCCTCACAAAAATCAGTCCTTACACCAAACAACCATCACTACAAGGCCCTTAACCCTCGAACACAAACTGCTTCTGTCTCTGGGTCTTTTATCTTTGTGGACTCTGTCAACAGAATCATGGCACTGCCATTCTTTTTTTCCTAATGAAAACTAAACTGGACAACTTAGGGCTACCCTCTGATATTATACGATTTCTGCTGTACATGCTGATAAATTTTCTTAGGGACTAGTAGCAAAGAAGTAAATATTCATAAAGCATCCAGAATCTTGGACTAATGGCACAAATATTGAAAACTTCAGATGAAATATGAATAATGCTTAACCTCACTACTGATCAGGGAAATGCAACTAATCAACAATGATATACCATCTTTCATCTATCAGATTGGCAAAAACTTTAATAAAAATGTGACACTATTTAGTGAAAATGTGGATAGAAAAAAAACTTAGACCTATACACTGCTGGAGGGGGTGTAAATCAGAACAAAACTTTGAGAAGAATTAACAGTGCTTGCCACATTTAAAAATGTGCATACTCTTTGACTGAAGTATGAGTTGGTTAGGGCTGAGGCTAACAACGTACATAGTATGTACATTGTTTATGGCACGTTATAGTAGAATAATCTTCAGATTATGTATCTATTTTCCCACTTGACTGATTGTTCAGATTTTAGCTGTCTCAATCCACAACATCCTGCTTTTGGCCCTAGGGAATAAGAAATGCTCTCAGGGAAGTGAGAAAATTAATGTACTTTTCTGATATGTTCTCTCTCATGCAGCTGCACTGTCTTCCAGTACAAAGATAGATTCCAGGTATCGCTAAAATTTCCCAAAGCCAAGGAGGGCTTAGGCAAATCCTTGGGAGGATTTTGTTATTTCTGCTAAATCAAGTTGCTAAGAAGGAAAGCAAGAATACCATCTGAGGGCAAACTCATGCGTACCCAGAGGCAACCACATGGATGTAGGAAGAAAGGAAAATCATTCATTTGAAATTCTGCCTTTGTTCCACTGGGCCTATTTTGCCAAACCAAACCCTTCTCTAAAACTTCCTAAAAAGGACCCAAGGAAACTTGAGCTTTCATTACCATACCTTTACCAAAAAGTCACTGAGGTGCTAAGACCTTGCAGTTACGGAAAAGAGAAGATCTGAATGTTAAACTGGGCAAGAGAAATATTTATCAGGAAGATAAATATTAACCTACCACCAAATACTCAGATCTTTACCTTTTTCTTTTCTGGATTTCCAACATTTGCCAGAGCTATGAACCTGGTGGCATGCTGTGCATTTTCCTGCAGAACGATGTGGTTTCTGTAACATATTTGAGAGATAATGAGTTACCAATAAACTTTACTTTTGATTTACAATTATGAAATATGCAGACTCCATGCGACCACAAAAAAAGCACAGATCCTGAGTCCGTCACCACAAGTAACAATCTCAGATATTACCTGTCTGTCTAGTAAGACAATCATCCCTACCTCACAGGGCTATTGTTAGGAAAAAACGAGATCACATATCCAAAAAGCACAAAAACTTCAACTTTCAGTTTTAAAAGAGCTGCAAGATTTGCAAAATGTTGGGGCCGGTCCCCGTCCAAGTGGTTGAGTTTCTGTGCTCTGCTTCGGTGGCCCGGGGTTTCTCCGGTTTGGTCCTGGGTGTGGACCTAGCACCATTCATCAAGCCACACCGAGGTGGCGTCCCACATAGCACAACTAGAAGGACCTACACCTAGAATACACAACTATGTACTGGGGGGCTTTGGGGAGAAGAAGAAGAAAAGAAAAAGACTGGCAAGAGATGTTAGCTCAGGGCCAGTCTTTAAAAAAAAAAAAAAAGATTTGCAAAATGTTGATAATTGCTGAAGCTAGGGATGGGTATATAGGAGGGTTCATTATACTATTCTCTCTTGTATAATAAAAATCTAAAATAATGAAAACAAAAAAGAAATTAGTTTTAAGCAGAAAAACAAGCTTCAAATAATAATATATAGTATGATTTCATATTTCTAAGAAAAATATAAAAATACATGAGTGTCTCTATTTCATAGGAAAAGATATGGTAACTACATATACCAAAATACTTTTTTGAGCTTTTCTGTGTTTTACAAGTATTCTACATTGAGCAACTATTATTTGTAATTAAAAGAAAAAAAAGTCATGGCATTATATATATTTTTCATTTTTAGTGAGTTGACTATTAATACAGATGCTAATCCTTAAGTCCTTTACTTTCCTCATGCTACAAAAATTTCCTGAATCTGTCACGAAATACTATTTTATTTTCACAAAATCTAGTCTAATACCATTTTATATAAATATACACATATATATTTTATATTCATATTGAAAGGAAATAAACCAAAATACACTCTGTCTGCTACAACCTATTCTTTTATTTTTCTTTCTTTCTTTCTTTCTTTCTTTCTTTAAAGGAAGACTAGCCCTGAGATAAGTGCTGCCAATCCTCCTCTTTTTGCTGAGGAAGACTGGCCCTGAGCTAACATCCGTGCCCATCTTCCTCTACTTTATATGTGGGACACCTGCCACAGCATGGCTTGCCAAGCGATGCCATGTCCGCACCCGGGATCTGAACCAGCCAACCCCGGGCCGCCAAAGCGGAACGTGCACACTTAACTACTGCGCCACCGGGCTTGCCCCTATGATAGAATTTTTGTTACAGCTCTAGTTAAAAAGTTGCAGAGGGTTTTTTGTTTTATTTAAGTTTTATTAAGCTCTAATTCAAATTCCATACAATTCACTCATTTAAACCATACAATTCAATAGTTTTTAGTATATTCACAGTTGTGCAACCACCACCACAACCTAATTTTAGAAAATTTTTGTCAGCTGAAAAAGAAACCCTATACCTATTAGCAGTCACTCCCCATTTCCTTCTAACTAGCCCCCGGCAAACATTAATCTACTTTCTATTTCTATGGATTAGCTTATTCTGAACATTTCATACAAATGGAATCACACAGTATATAGTCCTTTGGTCCGGCTTCTTTCATTCAGCACAATGTTTTAAAGGGTCACCCATGTTGTAGCAGGTATCAGTACTTCCTTTTTCTTGCTGAGTCACATTCCATAGTATGGATAGGACACTTTTTATTTATCCATTCATCAGCTGATGGACATTTGGGTTGTTTCCACTTTCTGGCTATTATGAATAATGCTATTATGATCATTTGTGTACAAGTTTTGGGGGGAGCTATGTTTTCATTTCATTTGGAATAGGAGTGGCAATGCTGGGTCATATGGTAACCATGTTTAACCTTTTGAGGAACTGCCAAACAGTTGTGCAAGCGGCTGCACCATTTTATATTCCCACCAGCAACACATGAGGATCTAATTCCTTCATATTCTTGCCAACACGTATTATAATTTGTCTTTCTGATGACAGCCATCCTAGTGGGTATGAAGTGGTATCTCATTGTGGTTTTGATTTGGATTACCCTAACGGCTAATAATGATCATGCTAAAGAAAGAGCATCTTCTCATGTGCCTATTGGCCACTGGTATATGTTCTTCAGAGAAGTTATGTATGCAGATCCCTAAAAGTTAAACAGGTTTTGAGTGGCTTGTTTCTCTAACCTCTGTTTTTAGTGCGTGGTTTTAGTGCAAGAGGTTTTTCTGGAATGCACACACGGAGACATAACAGAAGAGTCTGCATTACCTGTGGCTATACCTGAGGCCATGGTATTGTGAGGGAAGGGCAAGCTATTTTCTTCTTTTCGCTCACCTATATTTTTGGAACTTTCAACATCTACATCTACTACGTCTGTGTTAAAAAAAAAGTTTTTACCCATTATTTTAAAGATTATTCATGCCCTTTATCAGAGAAGATAATTCAGTTAACTCTACCATTTACAAAACACTCGTTTTATTTTCTCTTTTTCTCTGCAATACATCCTTTAAAACTTCCACCTCCAAACTCATACAAAAGAAAAAAAATTGATATGAGTTCTTTCTTTCTTTTTTTTTAAAGATTGGCACCTGAGCTAACAACTGTTGCCAATCTTCCTTTTTTCCTTCCCTGATTTTTCTCCCCCAAATCCCCCCAGTACATAGTTGTACATATTTTAGTTGTGGGTCCCTCTAGTTGTGGCATGTGGGACGCTGCCTCAGTGTGGCTTGATGAGCGGTGCCATGTCCGCGCCCAGGATCCAAACCGGCAAAACCCTGGGGGCCGCCAAAGTGTAGTGTGTGAACTTAACCACTCAACCACGGGGTCGGCCCCCTGATACGAGTTCTTGATTCCCAAATTGAAATACTTCTAAAGTGATTATACTAAGTTTTCTTTTTCTTCTTTTTAAAGATCGGCACCTGAGCTAACATCTGTTGCCAATATTTTCTTTTTTCTTCTTCTTCTCCTCCCCAAAGCTCAGCAGTACACAGTTGTATATTGTAGTTGTAGGTCCTTCTAGTTGTGGCGTGTGGGATGCCGCTTCATCATGGCCTGATGAGTGGTGCTGTGTCTATGTCCAGGATCCAAACCGGCAAAACCCTGGGCCACGGAAGCGGAGAGCATGAACTTAACCACTTGGCCACGGGGCCGGCCCATATACTGAGTTTAAGAGTTTACAAAGAGTACTGTTTGGCCTGATCAAAACAACACTTACTGTGCTACATTGAGCCATGATGATTAAACAATATTGTTACCTCAGAACCTCAAACCTCTAAGGGGTTCTTTATAGTCCAATACCTTGTATTCCAAATTAGGAAACAAAATTCAGAGAAGTTGAACGATTTGAGAGTCACTAATTTCAGTGCCTGAGTAACTAAAAGGAACCAAGATGTTATACGGCTGAAATGAACATGAGCAGTTTACACAGAAGATGCCAGTTAAACTCTTTAAAAAGCCAAAAGAACAAAACGCTACTCACCGATATGGAAGCCTCTCATAATAGGTCTTTTCTAAAGCAGCAAAATGGTATCTTGGTTTCAAGCCTGTGGCAAGACTGGAGACCAAAGCAGAGCCACATTTTTTGGTATCCACTTCTCCCTAGTAAACAGAAACTCAGTCATCACACAAGATGTAAGAGCTATCAAGAAATGCAAAGAAATAACAAGACACTTTGAACTGATATTTGTCCCTAAAATATATCAACTGAAATTTATATGTGGATACAGATGTGGGTAGTAGGATTTGCATAGTGAATTCCACACTTACGGCAGTCAGAGAAAGCACAAACACATAAGGGGAACTGGGTTATTATGAATGCTGAAATAGGAACAGTTGCTGGAAGCCAGAGGTTAAAAGGCAAGTTTTCCATACTAATACCCAAAATAGGTTTATTAAAATCGTTTTTGGAAATTAAGCTCCCTCTCAGGAGCCCGCAAACTGTGCTTCTAGAATTTGCCCTATTGTGCACCTGCAGTTCTGACAATGCAGACAGTCAAAGACAATGTGGAAAATAACCATTAAAAGCTAGCTTTCAGGGCCTCTAGGATCCACAGACTATTTTGTATGGAATATTGAAGGGCTTCCTCACGTAAGCATGCCATCTTTTATTTTGCTTCAGTCAAGAAAAGTGTGGTTTGTTGAAGGGCACAATCACACCCTTGTTACAAAGTCTGTAACATAGTTTGTCAAAAGTTAGGCTTGTTCCCAGAACATCCCCAGCTTCCATTAACAACAAATTATGTGCTCTCTCATCCATGACATTTTTTTTTTTTTAAAGATCTTATTTTTCCTTTTTCTCCCCAAGGTCCCCCAAGTACATAGTTGTGTATTTTTAGTTGTGAGTCCTTCTACTTGTGCTATGTGGGAACGCCACCTCAGTGTGGCCTGATGAGAGGTGCCACGTCCGCACCCAGGATATAAACCGGCGAAACCCTGGACCGCTGAAATGGAGTGCACGAACTTAACCACTCGGCCACGGGGCCAGCCCCTCCATAACGTTATTTATGTACTTTATTCTAAAAGAAGGTATTAGCTGGAAATAAAGAAATTACCAAAGTTAACTTCCCACTAAGTAAAGCAAGAACTTCCTTTTGTCTTATGCGTGCCTCCTTCAGGTTTCTGCTGAAGGGCAGAGAATTGGCCTTGAGGTCAGCTGTAGTACCAAAGGGAGTGGTGAACTATACTGTTTTCTCCCCTACAAATATCTTGCATGGTTGTTTATAAACTTTAATCAAAATCCTCTTTTAGCCCCCCAAAATGAAGGGGCCTCATTCTTCTCATCCTTCCTTACAGAGCATCAGTGTCTTTCTCCCTTCCATCATCACTTTAATAGTCCTCTGGATCTCCCCTTGCTTTGCTATATCTTCTCTATTCTGTAACCAGCACTGCCCATTGTATTCTGGGTGAAGAACCATGGGTTTGTGGAAGGAGAAGAGAGCACTTTTCCTTTCAACATCCTCTCTGACAATGCCTGGTATCTTCTTGGCCATTTTAGTCACTGTGCTGAAGTTGACAGAGAGTGGTCTAAAAGGCCTTTTTCTGGATCATTGCTGATACTTCTACATCTATTAATTGATATTTGTCCCTAAATGCATTCTTCCATTTCCCTTCACTGAAGCTCACCTGACACTTTCTGCCGTCACATGCAACCTTTCAAGTTTCATTAGGTTTATTACCACCAGTGTAGTATTTCACAACCCATGATAGCCATCATTCATCACCCTGGTGTACATCCTCGTCTAGACAGCTTATAAAAATATTCAGATCAAACGCAATGGTGAGCTCCAATGCATTCATACTAAACCTTTCATATTAGAGAAGTACCAAGTTTTCAACATCTCATTTCCCATCTTTACATCTTTAGATCACTATCTTTGATCCCATAATGATTCCATAAAAAAAAATTTTGATCCAAAAAGCTATAATCTGGAATGAAAAGGGGGAAATACAACTGCAGAGCTGCCACTAGATATAAATCTTTGCACTGAAAATTAGTGAACAGTCAAAACATATTAAGAGGAAACTTGAGAGAGGCCACTTGAAGCAGAGAATATAATTTAAATTACCATTCATTTACAATTAAAATTTTAGCAATCTCCTTTGTGAATTGTGCTTTCTTAAGATCAACTTTTGCTTTGGTCAGTTGATACAGCTTTAAGTATTCTGAAGAAATTCACAAAAGACGTCTACTGAAAGGTATTAAGAACTAAAATACTCAATATAAAGAACAAAGAAAGCCCAGATTAAGCCAGTGCAATTTACTTTTAGAAATTCCAACTGAACAAGCACTACTCACAGAAGAATTCCCAAAGTTCCCCACATACTTGGGCCACGGGGATGTGAGCAAGATATCAACACCTTTAAACTGGGATGTTGAACAGAGCATTGTTCTCAGGGAAGACACATCCTTGGGACTAAAACTGTAACCTGGGACCGGCTCATTTAAGGACTCTGTCCCACTGAGGTACACAATCTGCAGCCCCGAGCTTCCAGTGAAGATACCTTTACGACCTGGGTTCAAAGAAAAATGGATAAGTTGTAGTTAAAACTGCAGAATGATGAAATGTTGTTATGCTGATGAATCTCTCTCTCCCCCCATGCCATGACTCTCCTATGTCCCAGCCATTCTACGTGTCTGGATGAGTGAAAACCCTCCTCAAGCCCCACTTCTGGCTACTAGGTCTCAGTGTTGGATGGCTACAACAGTACTCCTGTTCAGTAAGAGCAGCCCATATGTGGAGGCTGCTGGAGCACACAGGCCAGTCTGTTTACCCCAGGTGCCTTACAAATGAAAAAAGTTGGGAAGCACGGATTAAGAAAAAGGCTTTCTGCCTTCTAGAGACTCTACATGGACTAAAAGAAATCCAGACACCTGAACACAGGAAGAGGTAATGAGGAAAAAAAACAGCAGTTCTAAGAAAGCTATAGTCTAGAAAGATGTACCCTTCAGGCAGGCAGCAGCTTCCAAATGGAAAACATTTGGAAAGAGCAACTGCTTGGGAAAAAATTGAGAGACTCGACCCTCTTCTAAATTTACTCCTGGCTTGTGCCCTTTATTCTGTTCCTTCTGGCTGCCTCCAATACCTTGCTCCATCAGTTTTCACCTCCTTTTCATCTAGTGAGTCTCTTCTTCTCAAATGACTCTTTCCACATACTAACTAATAACCACACAGACTAACTAATAAAGGAAGACGTATACTAACAAAGAATAATAAAGTAATAAAGGCGGGGCTAGCCCCGTGGCCGAGTGGTTAAGTTTGTGTGCTCTGCTTTGGCGGCCCAGGGTTTCGCTGGTTGGGATCCTGGGCGCAGACATGGCACCGCTCATCAAGCCATACTGAGGCAGCGTCCCACATGCCACAACTAGAAGGACCCACAACTAAAAATACACAACGATGTACCGGGGGGGCTTTGGGAGAAGAAGGAAAAATAAAATCTTTAAAAAAAAAATAGACTTTAAAAATAAAAATAAAAAAAAAAGTAATAAAGGAATGTACAGACTAACTAATAAAAAGAGACACATAAGGGCCGGGTCGGTGGCACAGTGGTTAAGTGCACATGTTTTGCTTCGGCGGCCTGGGGTTCACCAGTTTAGGTCCCAGGTGCAGACATGGCACTGCTTGGCAGGCCATGCTGTGGCGGGCGTCCCACGTGTGAAGTGGAGGAAGATGGGCATGGATGTTAGCTCAGGGCCAATCTTCCTCAGCAAAAAGAGGATGATTGGCAGCAGATGTTAGCTCAGGGCTAATCTTCCTCAAAAAAAAAAAAAAGAGAGACACATATACTAATAAAAAACTAATAAAGGAGCATTTACTGCAAAGGAAATGTAGCTTTCTAGAGAAATGAAAGATGAAGACAGAGAAACTATGAAGAGCAGTGGAGTCACACACATACTAACTAATAAAGAAACGTCCTCTTCAGTTTCAAGTTTCTCAAAAGAGCAGTCCATGCTAAGTGTTTACCTCTTAATTAGTTCCTTAACCCAGTGCAACCTAGTTTCCCTCTGCCACTATTCTCTTAAGGTCATTAATCAGCCTATATACTTGCCAAAGGTCTCTTCTCCTGAAACTACGCTCTCTTCACTTAGATTCTATGAACTTGACAGTATCTTTTTACCTCCCCAAACACACCTCTAATCACTTTCACCTCCCTCTACACAGCCTCTAGATGAAGATATACATGCCCCCACCACAGGGAACTATAATCTGCCTGCTTCCCTTCTCATATTTCTTCCTTAACAATTTGATCCTCAGCTTTATTTTTCATCTTTATGGGACCAAGTCCCCAAAACACACACTCTTCAACACAAGATTCAAACAATCTTGTTTACATATTCTAGAAAGAACTATCACTTCCATCTATAAGGCGGATGTTCTGCTGGCACTACCAGCTCACTATCACATTTACTATCAAGTTGATTGTCTGCGCCTCCTACTGGATCTCAAAAAATCTTCCACAGAAACAACCCCAATACCTTGGCTGCTCTTTCCACTCCTGACACTAAATTCATATGGTAAAATGGCTCTCAAATATCTACAGTAGTGGTCATAATCCAAATTTATTAACTACAGTGAGAATTGACATAGGTCAGGCCCATCTATAAGAAGAGAATTTCAAAATTTATAGTTCACAACTGTGGTTAAAAACAACAAAAATCCATCCCTCAGTTTTTTGCCTAAAGGGCCTCATATGAGTGAAGTAAGATGAGATGAGACTGCTTACATGAGGGCCACAGCCAGATGTAGAGAATAAAGGCCAAGATGGACTAAGGTAAGGAGGGAATGGGAGGGCATTTACAGCAAAGGAAATGCAGAAGCTTCCTAGAGAAATGAAAGAACAAGAGAGAGGAAATGTGCCGAGCAGAAGAGCCATTTTAGAAAAGAGTAAGTTGAATGATCCAAGATGCAGGAGACCGACAACAGGGGGTGGCTGGGCAACAAAAGCACAATTTGATACTGGTTTTCAAAATGGCCAGACATTGAAAGAACCACTAAAAGAGATTCAGGGGCTTGTGGAGGTAACAACTTTAACCTGGAATTGGAAAGTGGATCTGGAACCAGAAAAGGACAACGGGAGTGAAAAATTCAAGGATCAGTACTAAAAATGAGTTTCCAAAACCTTAGTGAAACCTAGAGCTATAGCTAGTTAGGAGTCTAACTAACAAGTAAGTTGTATGTATCTAGCAATGTTATATGGTGAGAACACATACATGGAATTTTTTTTATCATAATTTATACTTTAAGTACTCCATACACTGTAGTCAAGTAGTTTATCCTCTAGTTGGCTGAAAGAGTATATATTTGGTTGTGGGAATACAAGATTGGAGAAGAGGTGCGAGACACAACAAAGGAAAAAATGCCATAGTCTTAAGGGTATAGACAGACTTTAGTAAAGAACCCCTTGACCCCCATTCTCTCAGGCAGTAATGGCAGAAGAATCCAGCCAGAAATCTCCAGGGAGACTAATTCCTGGGGACACTTTATTATGTTCATTACAAACACAAAAAATATCAACTTACCCAGATAAGTAATGTTTTCAGCTAATTCACACCCATCAGCATCTTGGAAATATTTTACTGTTTCCTGGTTATTTGCACCCAGCACATAGGTCTGAATAGGAGCTAGTGAGAGAAACATACATGACACCACATAGTTACCAGATCTGCTTTGGAACTTGAAAAATGCTTCCTCATAAGAAAAGTACTCAAGCCAAAGTAAAGAGTCTACAATCCTATATGTGGAATATGCTCACCACATAGGATATCCTATACCCAACTTTGTGGCCTATCAACTGATATCACTAAGGCTGATGAACTGACATCTTAGAGAGGACAGTCAATGTATAATTACGAAAACATAGACCCTAAAGAACTTGATAAAGAGAACACTAAAACTGGAAAAAGGAAAGGGAACATATGGTTGCATTTATTCAATTCCTGCCTACTTAGAACTATTTTTCTGGAACTAAATCCAACCAAATTCAAAAAGTAAACATTTAGATGCACTGGCATTCTGCCCAGCTCAATGTAGAGCTAAAAGAGAAAGTCTTAAATAACTAACACATGTAAAAAACAACCCAGAAAGAACTGTGTAGCCTTGAAACTTTGTTAGATGTCATTATTTGTTAAATAAAAATAGTATCTATACCTTTCTTGATGCCAGTTTTATACTCCTCCCATTCAGCATCCGGAGTGGAGCCAAAGAAATTTCCTACACACAACAGCAGCTAAAATGAGTTTTTTAAACAGATATGAGTTTTTTTAATATCAAGTCGTACATAATTGATAGCAACATTATTCAGCTAATTATCCTACTTAGAGGTCTCAAACCAGGTGTTTCCCTTAATCAATTTACAGAATTTCAATACATAATTCTTTAGCAGCAATTGTAGTTACTCTGATTCTATAAATTACTAAATTTTGGCTCATTGGCTGTCAAATTCATATTGGGGTTTGGGAAGAGGGAGTCAGGGAAAGATGGAGAAATGGACCTTAGAGAATCCCTCTGTGAAATATAAAACTTTAAATAGTAGATACCCTGAGAGATACAGGACATAAAAGACACATTTCCTGCCTATTGTCTTTACTCAACCTTTTTTGTTTTTTGAGGAAGATCAGCCCTGAGCTAACTGCTGCCAATCCTCCTATTTTCGCTGAGGAAGGCTGGCCCTGAACTAACATCTGTGCCCATCTTCCTCTACTTTATATGTGGCCTACCACAGCATGGCTTGCCAAGTGGTGCCACGTCCGCACCCGGGATCCGAACCAGTGAACCCCAGGCCACTGAAGCAGAACGTGCGCACTTAACCACTGCGCCACCAAGCCGGCCCCTTTACTTAACCTTTAACCCAATAAACAGATTATCCCCACACCTAGAATACTCTTCTGTATTCTAGGAGTTTACAGTCTACTTGGCAACCACACATAACATTTATATAGAGCTCTTTAGTTTGTGAAGCATTTGCACATGTTATCTGATTTAATCCATACCATACACCCACGAAATAGATCTGCACTTCCCAAAGCCAGTGGTCAGAATCACTCACGGAGGTTTTGCTAGTCTGTTTTCAATTTTGGCTACAGCAATAAAGTAACAAGATTCAAATTCAAAAAGCATAAAAAGACTGGGGCTGGCCTGGTAGCTGAGTGGTTGGGTTTGCACGCACATTCTGCTTCGGCAGCCTAGGGTTTTGCCCATTTGGATCCCAGGCACGGACATGGCACTGCTTGTCGAGCCATGCTGAGGAGTCATCCCACATAGCACAACCAAAAGGACCTACAGCTAGAATGTATAGCTGTGTGCTGGTGGGCTTTGGGGAGAAGAAGAAGAAGAAGAAGAAAAAAGAAGGCTGGCAACAGTTGTTAGCTCAAGTGCCAACCTTAAAAAAAAGAAGTATAAAAAGGTAAACAGGTCTCCCTTTCCCCACCACTCAGCAGCGACTAAGTTCCTAGGCTCACAAAAGGAACTCAACCTAACAAAAAAGGAGAGGACGTGTTCAACCAAGGAATGAATAAAGGAGCCACAACTCTATTTTAGTATGTTTGACTACAACAGTAAAATTAAATTTAGTAAAAAGAAACATCTTACGTCAAAGTTTCCACTTTTCTTCTGAATTGCTCGAACTCGATTGAACAAAACGTCAAACTTTCCTTCAACATCTCCACAAGCCAAGCTGCAAACAAGAGACAAGCGTTGAGGCAATTCAGGAAACACGAACCAGCCTGCCAGGTTTGGTTTATACTAGTGTTCCTGCATCAGGAAGATGTGTGGTCCATCTCTCTGAGGTTACCTGAGAGGTTCAGTGCACATAAACTATGTCTGACCACTGGGCAGCTCCCCCTAAAGGTCTTACCAACACCTTCAACTCACCATACCTAAAATTCAGCTTATCATTTCCTCCAAAACTGAACGAGCTTCTTCTCCTCAATTCCCAAGTGTTGTGGATAGGTCTATCACCAACTTAGTCACCAAGAGTCAAAAATCTCCCATCCGGTCACTAAGTCCCATCAATCCAAACATCTTACACATCCATTCCATGCTTGTTATTCCCACTGTCATTCTCTTAGTGTAGGGCTTCAATCACCCATTCAACAAACACATACTGGACACCTACAATATGCCAGGGGCAATATGCCGAGTCCTATGCAAAGTACACAGTAGGAGCACAAAGAAGAGGAAGACTCAGTTCAAGCCTCAAAAAGTTCACAATCAGGGAAGGAGAGATACTCTGACAGTTATAAATATATATGAAAAGGGCTACAACAGGAGATACACATGAAGTGTTATGGGGCAAAGAGAAAGTGCCAAGAGCCAAGATTCGTAAGACAGACTGGCCCTAATTTGTAGTAATTTCTTCCATTCTCTTACTTCTGAGTTTTTGGGGTTTTTTTTGCTGAACAAGATTGGCCCTGAGCTAACATCCAGGCCCATCTTCCTCTACTTTACATGTGGAATGCCTGCCACAGCATGGCTTGATAAGCAGTGCATACGTCCGCACCTGGGATCCGAACCAGTGAATCCCAGGCCACTGAAGCAGAGCATGCACACTTAACTGCTGTGCCACCAGGCCGGCCCCTCATATCATTTTCTTAATGTCTTTTAACTCATCTTGAAATATTCTAGTTCTTATTGTTTCGTCAGCATGTCTCTCTGGTGTTCTGTTGTCATTCATATCACTGAAGATTTTCAAGCTGGGGAGTGACATGATCATATCTGTTTTAGAAAGATTATTTTAGTAACAGAGTGAAAGATGGTCTGGAGGAACAAATGACTATGAGCAAAAAGAGCAATGCCAAATGAAGGAGGAGAGAAACAGATGAGAAATTCAGAATTCCGAACACAAACACAAATTGGAGTAGAGAAGTAGGATGGGAAATGATGGAGAAGGAGGAATGGAGGATAGCTGCAAGGCTGAGCAACTGAGGGTCCTATGATATGGCAGAGGCAGAATCAGAGAGAAATGTAATGAATCTGATATTGGATACAAAGTAGACAGCACACTTAAATTTCCTCTAATGCCTTCTCTTCTTCTATCCATCCTACATAAAGCCAACAGCTTAATCTTCTTTCCTCAAAAACATTAAGAGAACTCTACTACCTGCAGAACTCGCCTTCCACAAATCCCTCATCTCTCTTCCCACTGCTTTCTCCAAGTTTCCCTAACAGAAGCCTTCTCCACTGTCAATCTGATCACTTCTTGCCTCTGCTATTCCCTGGGTAGTTACTTCTAACAATCCCACTCTATCCATCCTGAGTCTAAATTTTTCACATCCTTAAAAGCCTAGCATATCTCTAAAGCTTCCCTGATTGGTTCAGAAAGTCACTCTCTTCTCAAAACTTCAGAAACCCATATAGCATTTCAGAGCAAGCTCGGTAATAAACTTTTAGGCATTTTTATTTATCTTCTGAGCACCACATCTTCTAGGAAGCTCTCCAGGCCCTATCAGTCATGATTCCTGGTGCCCCCACAGGATCCTGCACTTTCTCTATCATAGAACTTGTCACATGGAGTTTTCATCATTTCTGGGAGAGCCATCGTCCAGTTTGCACTTCATGGGACAGCTCAAAATTCATTTCCTCCTAATACGGGCCCTTTTCCAGTGTTTCCTATCCCACTGAAGAAAGACAGAAATATAGGACCCCAACAATGTCAAATCCTTCTCACTCACGACCAAACCATCTCCAAGCCCTGTTGATTTTATCTCCTTAACAAACCTCGAGTCCCTGGTCTTTTCTTCTGTCATTAGACTACCTAATTCTAGTTGTCCTCTATTTGGCTCTAATTTGTTCACATTGCAGCCACAATCACCTCCCAAAACGAAATTTGATCATGCCAAAACCTTCTTAAACATTTCAATGACCTTTCAAAGAAAATTTTGGTGAAGAAGATTGTCCTTTAGCTAACAACTGTGCCAAACTTCCTCTATTTTGTATGTGAGATGCCACCACAGCAGGGCTTCACTGGCGGCATGTAGGTCCACGCCCAGCATCTGAAGCCGGAACCCCGGCCGACCGAGGAAGAGGAGCCCGCGAACTTAACCACTACATCACTAGGCCGGCTCCTGGATGACTTTTAGGACAAAGACAAAAATATTATTCAAGGCACAATCCTCACTCCCCTGATTCCTCACATTAAGCCAAATACCTCTATTATACACCCTCTCAGACCCGTGAACTTTTTATTCCAACATTCATCACTATCGTAATTTTACATTGATCTGGATTCTTCGATTTTTCTCTATTCGATTGACTGGATTATTCGATGTTTCTCTAGGCTAAAACTCCATTAAGGCAGGAACTCCATCTATGCAACGCCTAGCACGGGGCCTGGCACACTGCAACTGTTCAATAAATATTTGTTGAATGAAACGAATGGAAGTCCTCTCTTCACCACCCCAGCGCCCCCTTCTCCCAAAAAAGTGCGCCAAGGCAGGAGCCCTACCAAGCCATCCAGTCCACCACTGACCAGGACCAATCAATGAATCCCATGCATGGAAATGTTTGTTAATAATTAAGTGTGTGGTGTGGGGAGAAATAAAGAGGAAATTATGTGTCAGAGGCCAGGACGGCTTAAAATGGAGGTCTGATGCTGGGAGTTTCCGCCTCTCCCAGCGAGGGTCGCTCAGAAGCGAAAGATGCCGGACCGGCCAGGCAAAGACGTGATCGGAGCTCAGCAGCCGCCGCCCCTGCTCCCACCCCCACCCCCGCCTTTCCTCTTCCCTTCCAGTCCGGAGAAAGACCCCCGCCAGCGCACGCGCGGAGAGAGAAAGAGAGAGGGAGGGACAGGAAGGGAGACCTGCGATTCGGGCTCACTCACAGGCGCAGCGGTTTCTGAGCCATCCGTCCCAACAGCCTGGGTTGTGACGACCACCAAATATAAGGACTCCGAACCCGCGCTCCTCAGAAAACTGCGGCCGCACTACAATAAGACGTCAGCGCACGCCAGCCAATGAGGGCTCACTTTTCTACGGAGAGCGCCGAGGGTCAGAAGCCACCCTCAGGTCGTTTGGCCTCAAGGATGAATCAAGGAAGGACAGCCGTAGAGAAAAGAGGAAATGACAAAAAGGATTCCAATTATGATTTTTTATTTCGGGGCAATTGAAGTTAACGAGATGCTAGAAAGTTCCCGGCACAATGTTCGGCCCCAGCCTAACCTAACACTCTAGTGGCCAAGACGGACTCCTCCATACATATATTCCATCAGTTTTTAACCTATCAAAAAATTAAAGGAAAAGTGGCCATCACTTGGATTCGGTAAGTATCAGCATGTTGCCAAATTTACTCCTGCGCTCTTTGTGTCTCTTTCAAGGTGCACAAGCATCTATCTGATAAAGGGTTAATATCCAAAATATATAAGGAACTCAAACAACTCAATAGCAAAAAAGCAAATAATCCAGTTGAAAAATGGGCAAAGAACTCGAATACACATTTTTCCAAAGAAGTCATACAATTGGCCAATAAGTACATAAAAATGTGCTCAACATCACTAATCATCAGGGAAATGCAAATCAAAACCAGTGAGTCATCACCTCACACCTATTAGAATGGCTATTAGCAAACAGACGAGGTAACAAGTGCTGGTGAGGATGTGGAGAAAAGGGAACTGTTGGTGGGAATGTAAATTGGGATAGCCACTATGAAAAACAGTAAAGAGATTCCTCAAAAAATTAAAAATAGAACAACCATATGATCCAGCAATCCTACTCAGGGTATACAGCCAAAGGCAATACAATCACTATCTCAAAGAGGTTTCTGCACCCCCATGTTCATTCCAGCATTATTCACAGTAGCCAACACATGGAAATAACCTAAGTTTCCACAGAGAGATAAATGGATAAATAAAAGGTGGTGTGTATATATACAATGGAATATCATTCAGCCATAAAAAATAAGGAAATCCTACCATTTGCAACAACATGGATGAACCTTAAGGGCAATATGCTAAGTAGAATAAATCAGACAGAGAAAAACAAATACTATATGATCTCACTTGTGTGTGGAATCTAAAAAAGCTGAACTTACAGAAACAGAGAGCAGATTGGTGGTTGCCAGGGGGTGAAGGGGTGGGGAAAATGGGGAGATGCTGGTTGAAAAGTGCAAACTTCCAGTCATAAGATGAATAAGTTCTGGGGATCTAATGTACAGCATGTGACTATAGTTAACAACATTGTATTTTATACTTGAAAGTTGCTAGGATAATAGATCTTAAATGTCCTTACCACACACCCTCACAAAAGGTAACTATGTGAGTTGATGGATGTGTTAACTAACCTTACCATAGTAATCATTTCATAATATATATCAAATCATCACATTATATACCTTAAACTTTTACAATGTTATATGTCAATTATATTTCAATAAAGCCGGAAAAAAGATAAAGTAAGAACTACCCACCCCTTCCCAGACATACACACAGAAAAAACTATGGTATTTTCAGCTCTGCCTTGGGAGAACCCTACATCCTAAATGTAATTGGGGAAGTTGTCGGCTATATATGTGTGTGTGTGTGTCAATTTCAAAATGCTAGTTTCTGTATCAAGATGTATATCTGGCCAAATGTTTCAAATCTTGTATGAAAAACAGTTATAGAAAGTTTAATAAAGTACCAAAGGGGATTACATTAGAGTAGTTCATCCTTAGAAACACAAAAGTGAATTGAAGTATTTCATTAAAATTTTAGTTTCTAAGGAAAAAAAAAAAGAGTCCGGCTTTTTCAAAGACGCCATGAGAAGGCACTAAAGGATTCTAAGTAGGAGTAACATGGCCAGTTTACATTTCAGAAAGATTACTCTGGCAGCAGTGTGGAGGGTGGGATGGAGGAATAGTTAAGATGAGAGCGACCACAGCAATAGTCCAGAGCAGCAGAGGATAAACAATGGTGGTCCGAAAGAGATGGTGGGAAATGACAGAAACAGAGTAAAGAACTGTTTTGGAGATGAATTGGGGACCTCAGGCACTTTCCTAGCTGTTAACACCCAACTCTGGATAAGGTTGCCTGTCTTCCAAACTAGACTGATCAGTCAGTATCTTCCATCCACCGATGTCTTTAGTCTGAAAGGAAGGAGATCAGGTCCCCAGGAGCCCCCCTGACCCTGCAGACCCAAGTAGGAAGATATTTTATAAAATGCTTTGAGTGGCAGCCCTACCTCCCCACCTAACACATACACAGACATACACATCCTGTCTTTGTTTTTAGCACATTTCCAAAAGGGAGCACATGTCACAATGTCATCCATCCCCAGACATCTGACTCACACAAAGAAGAGACAGGGAAGGCCCATCACATACACCAAGCTTTTGCAACACTCCTTTCTCTGTTTTTGCTCAGTCTAGAAGATTTGCCCTGAAATTATTAAGATTTTCTGTAATTTGCAATGTTATGGAAAAGTAAATAACTGACATTCACAAGGCGATAAACTGTAAAGAACAAGTTTGTTTTGTTTTCCTTTTTTAATTTTTAATCTTGTTAGCAATACATTAGTGTCATCAATAAAAAAACAACCATTTATACAGTAACTCAAAATCCAGCCATTTAAGGAAATAATGTAGTGATCAACTACTCCCAGAGAAAATAGGTCCTCTCATTTGCTTCTACTGGCAAGCCCAGGTTTATCCTGAACTTTGAGAGACTCTCCGTCCTAAATGGATGATGAAGTATTCAAGTAAAAGATAAGGAGCTGTAACTGTGAGTTTCTGGGGGATACTGCCTCAAAAGAAGTTCAGGAATAGCCACAGTCCTCCAGTTTACTCCAATGTTGGGATGTTTCTGGGACGACCAGCACAGTTCCCTTTCGAGGAGTTCTGACAATTCATCAACCTCAGGATTCAGGTCCTATAAAAACATTCTTCCACTTTAAAAAAAGACTTTGTCTCACAGCAATAAATTTTTCATCGCTTCTCCAGCTTCTTGTACTTGGCTTCTGCCAGGAGGAGAGGGAGAGGAAGTTATATTTTTTAAAACTGGCTCTTGCAAAGATACTTTTCAGTCAGCATTTCCAGGCAAATTTAAAAATGTCTATTATGTTAAAAAAAAAATCTATTCACTTCAATCTCATCAGGTGTTCAAATTGTGTCCAAATTGTACGCACACCATAAATGTTAACTATCGTATCAGCTAACAGATATTTGAATCTCTGTCTAAATATCATCAATGGATACAACTTAAGATAAGGAGTCAAACACACACACACAGAATTGAGAACCCAACACAAGTTCACTAAGTTCTAACCCTATCATCAGCATCTGCTCAGATGGCTCCACCAGGTAAGTAGATTACCGGCACTTGAGCCACCAGAAGCCTTATTAAGCACAGGAAATTGCCTCTCCAGGCACCGTCCCAGGCACCCTCTGGGAGGCACACTGGAACTCTCAGGAAGCATAAATGTATGTTTTACCTTTTATTTTCTTATCCCTATCCCTCACTCTAGGAAAGCAATTTTGAAAGATACAGAAATTTTAAAAACCATCAGATAAGCCTCTTAATGTCATAGATTCCCTTTTTCTTTAAAACTTTGAAGGCACCTGGTACAATGACTTCTACATAAGGTTCACGGTCACCATTTAGTGAATTTAAGCACGGATGATGAAACTGTTCATCACCACTCATGTCAAATCTCAGTGTGCTGCAAACCACTCTCTTGAAGTAGTCAACAACCGTCAGTGATGAAAATAATCTGTAAATTACATCTAGGATATTATTTTTAATATTTTTATTATTATTATTCATGATTTTTATTCATGAATATAAAAGCCAGAGCCAGTTAGCAAGGCATCAACACTAAAAGTACCAGTTTCCTCCTTAAAGGAAAAGTAATCCTTCAAGAAAACCCTTGATTGACTATTCTGTTTTTCAAGACATGCATCTACATTATTAAGGATGCTTCAGTCTGCTGAACCACAGTTATGAGCTTGAGTTTTGTAATCAATCAGACCTGGTTTGGAATACAGCTCTTCCACATACTAGTTTTGTGTCCTTAAGCAAATTACTTAACCCGTTCATCCAGTTTCCTCTTCTACAGAATGAGGATAAAAATTGTGTACCTACCTCATAGCTTATTGGGAGGATAAAAAAACATACTATCACAGTGCCTGAAATATCTTTAAGTACTCAGGAAATGTCATTTTTATTACTACCACTAATAAAAAATTACTCTCAAGAGGTTTTTGTGAAGATTAAAATAGATCACTGTAGGCACACCGTAAATGTTAACCATCATATTAGATAAGGTCATATTGGTGGGGGGGGGGGTGCTCTTATCAAATCAAAAAGAAATAAAAATGGTTACCCAGTTTTTTTGAATATGCATCCAACTTGTAGGCCGCCTGCTCAAGAGCTGCTACCTGCTCCTCAATTACATTGATCTGATCCAGATAAGGCTGCAGTCCAGCATCTTTAAAAACAAAGACAGACCGCAGGTTTATATGGCATCAACAATGAACACGGAAGAGTGGAAAAGTAAGAACGCTAGTGTCTCTCCAGCTCTGCCTAAGACAGACTAGGTGGGATAACATGATTCTGATCACCAACAGGGCAGACGCTTTAAAGGACAGGAGCTAGCTGGTCAGGCTTGACTGTGACCTAAACAAAGTGAAGTCTCTCTCTTCTACTAATTTTCCTCTCTTTTAAATTCCTTGCTCCTCAAGCAATCTTTCCATTACTGATTCAGTTTCTTCGGTACTTCCAGACCGAGCAACAGGGCCCCTTGAGACAAGGAATACAAATATAAGTCAATGGAAAAATATATTCTACCAGTCTAAATTAGCATTTTCCATTTACAGATGTTCTGGTTTTCTTTTTATAGAGTAGTCCTTTATGGATTTCATGGTTAAATCAATTCACTAGAATCTGGCCACCATTCCTCGGCCTCCTATCTTTCCAGGAATAAATGGATCAAATCAAGATTCAGAAGCAGAAATACCCATACCACCAAAGCATGCTAATCCTCAGAATGG